ACAATATAATAAGTGAATATCAAAAAGAAAAAAGAAAAAAAAACATGCAAATAGTATTAAGACTTCACTTAAATTCAAGGAAGACTTACAATCCAAAAATTTGGAAGTAATCGACCGAGTGATCAACAGGCTGAATGCTCCGGCAAGACTCACAGAACAGAAACGGCGCCGACTGAGCCGCGGCATTGCAGTTCCAGCATCGAGCACTGATCTTCTCTGCAGATTCCGAGCAAAAACATTTCTCTGAAAATTTCGAATCGCCGAGAAAACTTCGCCTGGAGCTTAAAAGAACTCCACTAGAAGCTTCGACAAAAGAAGGCGAAGGAACATCGAAACAGCGAACAAGTGAGCCTGAATTATATAGAGAGAGATGAGAAATTGAAGTAATTGTTCTTCTCAGTATCATGGACAGGGGATTCAGCAGCCTCTGCGCTTTATTCATTGATTCTTCTTCTCTTTTGCTTCAAATTTATGGGAGTGTTCAAACGAGAATTAGGAAGAACAGGAAACAAGGACAAGAGAGAGTACAGAGGAATGGTTCTTTTTTTTTTTGGTTAAATAAATTCTGTTGGAATAATAAATTTAATTAAGTATAAAATTAAAATATTGTTTATATGTATTAATTAAAATACTAATTTATTGTCTAAATTTATTTATTTATATATATGCAATGGTTAAAATTAAAATAGTATTTGAAAATATTAATAAAATGTTTAAAAAAATTTTAAAAGATTAAAAATATATTTTCTAAATTTATTTATTTGTATCCATATAATACTCAAGTTCAATTAGAAAATAAAAAAAAATTATAAAAAAAATGAAAATTGATTTTTTTAAAAAAAGAAATAAAATTTAAATAATAGCTCTTAAACTGAATTTTACAAAATTTTAACACCACTGTTTAGGAAAAATTATAATTTTTTATAATTAAATCAAATATAAAAATTTTAAATAAATTGGAAAATTAAATTGATCTGTTAATAAAAATTGATTTAGGAAATTCATTATTTCTTCTTGAGAGAGATTTAGGAAACTCAATTTAGGAAATTCATCTTTCTAGGTCAACTCAAGATATCTTGCAACAACTAGGAAATTCCAAAGTAAATAAATTATAAATTTAGTGTGGAAATGAAATAAATAATTTGAATTTATATTTTTTACACAATAATTGAAAGTACCAAATAAGATTTACGGGAAAAACCCTTTTAAAAGAATAATTAATAAAAAAAAAATTAAAAGTAAACAAACTGAATGTTATATTCGCAACTCTCTTGTGGATCGGGTTTTGAATCCTAATCCTCTTGATCTGAAATAGTTAATGAAAGAGTGAGTTACACCAACCCAATAAAAATATCATGTTACTCACCGACACAGAAATAAAGGTTGGTAGAAATCATAAAAACAACTAATAAAGCTCTTAAGCAAATTCGTTTATCATAAATAAAATCATCTACCATCTATTTAACGTAGCAAGATTTACAAAAACAACATATAAAATCAATAATATAACACATATTATGATTTCATATGCAATTGGTTGGAATAACAATTTTCTCTTTTATCAGCCTACTGGTATCTATGGGGGTCCATAAGGATGTCCCCACTACACGTGAACCCTTTCATTTAACATTTTTAATTAACAGGCTGTCCTCATACCCCGTCCGGTGTGAGCGCCAAATTATCAAACCTTGATACCCCGTCCGGTATGAGCGCCAAATTATCAAACCTTGATACCCCGTCCGGTATGAGCGTCAAATTACCAAACTTCGATACCCCGTCTCGTATGAGAGTGAAACGAGTCGTCTCCATACCTCATTCAATATGAGTGCTAAATTACCAAACCTCAATACCCCGTCCGCTATGAAGCAACGTTCACGGTAGGATTCCCTATGTACCCGGTCCGTCCACCGTTTCTCATGATATCCAATAAGGCTGCTGTTTCATCTATCTACTTAATCAAATAATTTTTCGTTTACCTTTAATTTTCAGTTTTCCAATTCAACCATAATTCCATAAAACAAACAAAACATACATCAAATGAATACAATCGCATCTCAGTTTTCTAATTTAACTATAATCTTATAAGGCAAGCAATACATGCATTCAAACTATAAAATCAATCAATCAAGTATTATCATGCATTCAAACTGTAAAATCAATCAACAGTGAATAACTTCTAGTTCTATCTCTATTAGTAATCTGTAATTAATTATGGATATTTTTTAAATTACATCAAATACCGTATTATTATTAATTAGACTTTAATTCCATAACAGAGAATAAGGTGATGGATTCTTACTCAAATTGATATCTGAAATGCTAAACTTTTGACTGCGCCTACTGATAGTTCTCGAATTTCCTGAATTTTTCTTCGAGGATTAAAACGCGCTTTAAGTACCTAAAAATATCTCAAAAAATCTAAAATTAGCGTTAAGAACCCTTTTTGGCCAATTCTGGAACTCCAGCACGACGGCTCCGCCATGCTCCGGCGACGGTTTGCCTCAGGTTGGCTATTTTTGGCCGATTTTGTACCAATCTTTACAAGAAAATACGTTAAGGGGTCTCGGTTGTTCGAAAAAAGTCAAAAAACTGAAACTTATCGACAGCAGGATTCTCTAGTGTGCGGCTCCGCCGACTCACATTCGCAGTTGGGTATTTTACTTTGGTCAACTTATAGAGAAGGAAACGGTGATTACAATTATAAAAAAATTACGCATCACGGGAATCGAGAAGAGCCTCATCGGAAGCGAGTTTTGTAATTTCTCGTGGCGGCGGCAGCGGACTTTGCCCGCGGTTTCCAGCCAATTCACATATCATTTTGCTCTGATTTTATCATAGAGGTGTTTAAAATCAAATTTCGAGCAAATGATAAAATTTTTACCTCTTTTGGCGGTCGGAAGTAGCTCCGGCGCGGCGGTGGGCAGCTTCTTTCCCGGCGGCTGGCTCTTTTTCTCCGGCGGGATGTCTGGCGGTTAGGGTTAGGGTTTGGTGTAAAAAAGGTTATTTATATCCGTCTTCTTTTAATCTGAACCGTCCATCGTATTTGATTTGTACCGTCTGATCGTGATTAAATAAGGAGTGAATCTGGACCGTTCATCGCGGTTTGATCTGAACCGTCCGATCGCATTTAAATAATAAGTGAATTTAGGTCGTTCATCGCGTTTAATCTTAGCCGTCAGATCGCGTCTGAGGAAGGAACGCAACCAGACCGTCCGTACGCGCAGGAACGAATCTGGACCATCCGATCGCAAGTACATGGATCGCCAGCATGGCACCGTGTCAGTGTCCCTTGCCACACAGCAACGCTCCGATTCGTCGGGACTACTGACTGGGCGTCCTACGTGGCACAATTTTCTTAAATTATATTTTAACCTACAGTTTCCAATTTTTCTTCCAAAAATACTCTCAAAACCCAAATGTTCACATATTTTTTCCAAAATTATTTTCAATTTCATCATCCATTTAATTTACTTTATTTTTATATTAAATAAAAATTAAAAAATTATATTTATTCATTAATTTTAATTACAATTAAAATTAATTAGGACATTACATATCTTATTTTCATCATCAAATACACAATACCCAGAAAAAAAAAATGCATTACAGCACTTTCCCAATTTAAATCCAAGCATTATTCTCTTGATGGCAGTTCCAACTTATTGATACATTATTCATGGAAAGAGAAAATTATATATACCTTTCCCAAAGAAAAAAAATCTGAGAAACTATAAATACATATCTGCTTATAGGGGGAAGGAGATTTAAAAAGAAAATTACCACTATATCTTATCAATACAATGGTTCTTTTCTGGCAATGCTTCAACACAAATTCTCATATCACCTATAGAATTATGTAAATAGGTAAGCATATTAGCTTTCTCAACAAGGGTCTGACTACTTAGAATTAAAGCTTAAGCAACAGAATCTGTATTTCTTTTGTTGCTTCAATTTCTTTCTTCCATTTGCTTCTGCACTCAATGGCTTCTTTTCTGACCTAGTTTGATCTGAAACCGGTACTTCCATTTTTCTATCTGTGGAGGAATTCAAGGTTACATGATCGAGTTTGGTAGGAAGTAGAATGTCTTTCTCGGGTGATGCTGGTACTATTTTATTATGGTTCACTTCTCGTGAGAAAGAATTTGATCCTGCACGCCTGTGAAACAGGAGAAAATACTTATTAACATCATGTTGCCTCCCTCTACCCATTTCATTACATTTGGTTTATTCTTTATTCAATTCTTACTTCTAATTCCTATATTAGTCTTAATATATAGTTCTGAGTCCGATATTAGAGATATGTTGAGTCAAAGTACCTGACACCATTAATGGCAGAGCTATTCAGGGATTCATGAGAAGTCCTCACTGCAGCTTCTGTTTTGGATATTTCGATAGAAACCTTTGTACTTGAAGAATCATCTTCAAAAGAATTTGAATCTTTCACGGGATCTTTCTCCAGACTTGAGGGCTCTTCATCTGAAAAACTAGAGGGAGACCCTGAGGCCACACCGAATCCATATTCACGAATCATAGAAATGGCCTTCTCTAGTGTCCCTAGAGCCTCTTCCACCTCTGGCCTGACAAAAACACTTCTTTTACCATTTACCTGACTTCCGGCTTCAATCTTATTGGCTTCAGATTTATCTATAACCTTGAGACTAACCTCATCCTGGGAGGTATCTTCACTCTCTTCTTCCTCTATCTCACCAAAAGTTCTTCCTCCAGTGGTTTGTCTGTTTTCCGGTGAAGATTCACTTTCATGACTATGAAACTTCTGTTCCATATCCATTGCGAATCCTTCGGTCTCCACATCTTTTATTAATTGTTGTTGGGGGATAATGCATTCACTGCCCTTCATCTCATTTTCTTTCCGAGGGTCATCTGATTCTTCAATGCCATAAAGAGCTTTCCGAATTTTAGTATACAGTGGGTTCCCCAAGGCCTTGCTATAACCTTCATCACGATTAGATTCATTACACACGGAAGTAACTACCTGTAATAGATTTTAAATTTGGCAGAATGTGAAAAAACTTAGTGAAACAGTTCAGATCGTAAGGAAATCGACATAAGAAACTGGATGCTTTAGACAGTGTCTACTAAGGAAAATGTATAACCTTTTGATAGAGTTTGAAACCATTGCCAATGAGCTGTCTTGAAATAAAGTTTATGAGGGATGGAGGAACGAAATCCAGCTTGATATCCATATTTGCTATCGTCCTACAAAATGTTAACAATGTTCTATGCATTAAAATGGAGATTTCGGAAATGAGAACAGTCCAAGTTCCCTTCACTTGGTTATTTCTTTGATTTTCAAGTTCCATTCGCTTAAAGGTTACTGCAACCAGTTCAGTCATCTGTATAGTTCCAAAACAAAATAAATGGAAGTTTCTCTCTTCAATCATTTCATATAGTTTTCTTATCATCTTTTCTATAGTATTAATATCAAATAAAACTGAGATTGATTTATGTTGGCTCCGCTTCCTGTTCTTTTCTTTTCTCTGAGAAGTAGACAATGTTAAAATGCAAAATGTATTTCTGCAACTCACCGGAAATAACTTCTCTCGGGGGTGACCTTTTGTATAGCAAAGCCTCCCACTACGTCAATCCTCACAACATCTTCTGCTTCAGGAATGCCCTCATTGGTGAATCCATGAGTAGCCTTGTCGATGGTCCCTAAATCTGAGATCTGGAAGCAAGTTTATAACAAGATAGTTTCCATTCAGGTTATAGTCTGAAGGCAGCCAGATTTCAATTTTCATCCATCAATAAGGTAGAAAAAGTTTCAGACAAAATTAAAGTAAAAGTTCCACAATCTTACCGTGTTTACAAGAATAACAACCAAATCATCTTGAAAGTACTCAAATGCAAAATAGTGCACGAGAGCCTCTCTAACTGACAGTGGCCATGAAACCTTCACCCTTTCTTCCAAAAAATACAAGTAAAAATTAGTTTCTTGAAATTGTAGAGTCCTCGATGTGGCTAATAATCAAATAGGAATTTAGACAACCAAAGCAGTTTAGGCTGGACAAACCTCACTAAAGATATCTGTTCACCAACCCGGATTCTTTGCAAACAGTTGGAAGAAATCACTTTGAATGCTGGAATAGTGTACTGTGGCCACCTGATAATAAATAAAGAATAAGCAAAAATCATTTTTCATATTCTCAGAATTACATCAGCTCGTAACTGATTGACTTCAAATTATTCAAAAAACTGTTCAAATTATATACATCTTTACTTCAGTTACAAGTAATTTTTCTTGAGTTAAATATATATTTCTTAGCCCTCCCATAATAAAATAAATCAAGCTTAATACAAATGCAAACCCACACAAGCATTGAGATAAAAGGAAGATAAAACATAGCTTAAATTATTTGCTATGAAGAATTGAAATGGAGAAGAAAGGGAATGAACATTCTCTTGTATTAGGTCAATATCCCTTGGTGATGCAACTTGTCTAAATGTGCTCAGTCATTTTTCTTCCTGAAAGAAAGATGTCTAGTCCGGTTTTACTGCACCTGTATCTAATATACACACACACTCACACTCTTATATAATCTCATCTCCATAAAATAAGAAATGGTAAAAATGTGAAATAAATTGAGAAAAAATTATAAAATTCTCCGGTAAAATAAATCTCTTTCCTTGAACTCAAAGATATTACAGAATAACAAACATTTGATAACTATGCCGCCATATACAACTCTTACAAAGGTAATCAAAGAGTTAAAAGTAAAAAGAAATAGTCTCAAAATAATCTTTAATTTTCAATATTCTTAGTTTTCAGCAACCGAAAGGCTAAATTAAGCAAGTGAAGAAAAAGGAAGAATGTAAGCACATCAACTAAAACGCTGAAACTGCATATGCATGAAAAAGGAGGAACACATTTGGGAATGGAAACATTTCTTACCACTTCTTGTAGAGGGCAGACTCCCAAGATATGCATAAACCTGAAATTATAGAGCTCCTTCAGAAGTTCCCAAATCAATGATATCTTAAAGCATTAAGTAATTTGTTCAATCTTGTTCTAATTACAGTTTGTTCACCCAAACTTACAGACATCCACAGGCCCGTCTACATAGCCCTCAACAAGTAATGTATGAAAAGGACTGCCCTCCGGTCCTTCACGGTACATAACACGATATTCTTCACCGTCTTGTTTCAACTGTTAAGTGAAGTATACAGTTCATTAAGATCAATGCATTGATGGAACCTAGTTGTCAACTGATTTAGAGAGAATGAATTTATGGGCGGTTTTTTTTTTTATCAACAATAAAATTATTGTTTAATAAATTTTTTGCAATATGAGAACTTTTAACAAAACAAGGTAGATATGCATGAAAGTTTTAGATGGTCAGACATGGAAGAATAGTGTTTGAAAAGAATTTTAGCTGATGAATGAATCAGGTGTCTGATCAGCTACAAGTCCCTTTCTACGGGACTGACATGTATGATAACTAAAAGAAAAGGTTTTGGCAAGAAAACAGAGTAAGCTCAGGGGTTCCCTGGATAATAAAGATAATTCATTAAATTTAGGAAAAACAGAGATAATTTTCCAAAAGACAAAAATAGATCATTGAAAGAGATGGATTGGACAAGATATTCAGTTAAGAGAATACACCTTCCAATCACCACGCGATGTCTCATTGATTCCTGAATCCCCATGACTACTTGCAGAAACACTCCTAAGCATGTCAAGGAAATTGGAAACCTCATTTGTCCTTCTTTCTAACAGATGCTCACCACATTCTGCAAAAAGAAGAGTTTTGAAGTCAGAAAGACGCTTAAAAAAAAAAGCTACTGGTAAAAGGTCAACAACCTACATTGATGGCAAGATTTTTGGACAACTGCACATCATGGCGGCTCAAAATCATCAACAGGATATTTCAGGCTATACAAACCTTCAGTTTCTTTGGGTGAGAAACCTTGAATTTGATTCTTCACAAGTCTTTTAAGACTGTCCTTGTTTGCCAACTCAAGCGAAGCCAGAGTCTTGTCTAACCTCTCTCTGTACTGAAAGATTTTTCCTTTCTTTTCCATCTTTGCATCTCCAATCAAAGCAGAAAAAGTCTATGCCTTAAAGACCCACCAGAGTCCTCTCCTCAAGGTAGTACGTCAAACACTGAACGCCACAAAAAAAGTAGCCATAAATATGTAGGGACAAGAAATTAAGACTTTGAAAATGGGGGGTGTTTAAGTCTCCCCTCCCCTCCACAACTCCCCAACACCCTCCGAAAAAGAAAAAAAAAATTGACCCATATCTGTAAGACATGATAATGAAGAATAATCTATAATTAATTACATATCCTTCAAAAACTGTTCGATTAACAGCTGCCAGTGATCATGGAGCAATGGAAATCCAGATTCACCAACAAAACCATTTATTGAATAAGATAAAATAACATAAATTGTAGCAGAGAAAGAGCAGAAGAGTGGAAAAGATAGTTAGAGAAGAATAAAATCCCCATAAAACTCAACCCAGATTGCAAAAACTGCCAAATTCCATTGAGGACTAGAATCAAACATTATTTAGGCAACAACCCAGATGTCGAAACTAGACATTTTGACCAGAAGCCAACCAACCTGAAGCTGACCATAAGGCCAAACACAGTCACCCACAAAGAATTCAGAGCAGAAACCGAAGCTAAAAGGCTGAAATTCATCCCACCCAGATGCAGATCTCGATAGAGGAACAACGGGGGCGAGTATCTACATGCATGAATAGTCGAAAAAGAGAGACAAGAGTCACCTGATGCGTTGCCACCTAGGCGGATAAAGAACATGGGCTGATCCTCTTATTGGGCAGAACGAAGCCGGATATATAGCCGAATCAATAATTAAATCAAATACCAAACTGAAGACTTGTTTACAACTGACAACAGCTATCTAGAAAACTGAGGGTTGAGTACAGAAATCAATGATAAAGAAAAGTAGGTAGTTGGGAATTACAGTAGAGAGAGATTGGATTGTACCCGGGAGTGAGAAACAGGTGGTGGATTAGCACGATGGTAGATTGTGAAAAAGATAATTTTCAAAACTGATTCCTTCTTTTTGAGCTGGTAATCTGCGATTAAGTTGGCGGTGAATCCAAGAAGAAGAAAACACTTTTTAGTAGTACGAAACTTCTAATCAAAATAACGTTTTCTTTTTTTAAAAAAATAAATAAATATATTTCATTACTTTTAAATTAAGAAATTAAACTCCATAATTTTATATTTTATTTATAAATTGTAAAATGTAAATTATAATGCGTCAACAAAACGGTGTCGTATTTTGGTTAAGCCCCAAGCTTTTACTAGATTCGTTCCCGGCTTCTCCATCACGCGCCTTTAAGTGTTTCATCATTCTCGTGAAAGGTAATAATAATAATATTCTTTTTTTTTTTTGAGTGGATAATAATAATATTCTTAATAAAACTTCACAAAGAATATCTTAATAAGAAATATTTATTTTATATAATTGACTTTAATTAATTTTTTTATTGAAATTTTATTTGTAAATATTCAGTAATTTACAAAAATTCTCCCACTCGAATATTTTGAATAGCTCTTATTTTCCAAAACAATTTTCAAAATTTTTATTTAATTATATATCTCAATTCTAAACTAATTCTAAATACAGGACATTGGAATTTTTTTAAGTTTGACCTACTTTTATTTAATTTTTAATTTTAATAATTTATCGAATTCCAGTTATTATCTCTACTTTTTATAAACTAAAATCAAATCAAAATTTTATTTCTAAAATAAAAAATAAATAAACTTTGAATAGAGAAAAATATTAATTTATTATTTTGAATACATTTTTAAGACTCTTAATATATATATATATATATATACACACCCGCACGAGTAAACTGGAGGTTGCTACTATAAATATGCACATGGTTGAAATAATCAATGCAAACTCAGACAATGATTTAGTGGTTTTCACGTACATAACATTGCAAAGCCTAACATAAGACTTTTTTGTGCAATTAAAAAATAAATTTTAGGTTTGTTATATGAAAGTCTGGAACTTAAAAAAAAAACGAATTCATATTTTAAATGCAGAAATAAATAATAATATTAGAGTTTATATTTTTTACATAGTGAATTAAAACGCTCAATAAGACCACGATAATATTCCTTCTACAGCAGTTCATAAAAAGAAACGAGTAAATAATTGAAAAAAAGTAGATAAATGTCTTAAAGAGTTAACTTCTACTGACACTTGATGAGATTCGAGAGGTAATTTATTCATAACTCTCCTGCTGATCAGGATCTGAATCCTAGTTTTCTTGATCTGAAATGGTTAATAGAAAAATGAGCTATACTAACGCAGAAAGAATATCACACTAATCACTAATACGGAAACTAAATATTGGAAAAAATCATAAAATAATTAATGAAACTCTT